CTCGCTTGATGCCATTATGGTCAGAGAACACCGTGGTATGATTTCAGTCTTCATGTGCTTGTTGCTGTTTGTCTTGTGACCCAGTACGTGACTGATCCTAGAGGATGATCCATTTCCTCTTTGAAAAGATTCCTCCTGTCCTCCCTTCCTTGCTAGCCCCACCTTCCTTCACTCCTCCTGCCCCCACTTCTATACTGTTGCCCTTTCTTCCCCCTCCCCCAACAGTCCTGAGAGTCTCAGATCACAGTGTGTTGTGAAGGGTCCATTTACAGTTTGTCTCTGTCTGATTCTGTGTTTGGTTTGTCTAGACTCCACATGTAAGTGAGACCATCCGGTGTTTGTCTTTCTCCTCCTTGCTCACTTTGCTTAGAGTCATCCCTTCAGCTTCATCCATGTTGCTGCAATCGGCTTGAGTTTATCATTTTTCTATCACAGAGTAGTGTCCTGTTGTGTCTACAGACACCATCCTGTAACCCCCATCTGTCCTGCAGCATATAGGTTGTTTCCACATCTTGGCTAGTGTAAATAGTGCTGCAGTGAGCATAGGAGCACAGGTTTCCTTTCAGATTAGTGCATTTGTGCTCTTTGTTTTTTTTTTTTGTAAGATTTATTTATTTATGCATACAGCAGCTGGGGTGCAGGCCAGAGGTGTGGAAGTCACAAGTGACAGTACAAACCAAGACAGAGAGGGGAGCAGAACAGCTGGGTCTACTCAAGTACAATGCTGAGGGGAGTGGAGGGGACCAGCGGGGAGAGAGGAGAGGTCAGCCTTGCCTAGTGGGTCACCTCCTCGGCCAGGGTGACTTGTGCTGCAGTGGCTGCTGACAGCTTCACAGTGCTGAGATTAAACCCTTGCAACACCAGGAAGGTCCCTCTTTTGTGCTGTTTGAGTAGGTACCGAGGTGTGGATCTGCTAGTCATGTGGAAGATCCATTTTCAGTCTTTTCAGGCATCTCCACACTTCTTTCCATAGTGGTTGGACTAGTTCACATGCCCACCAACAGCGTAAGAGGGTCCTTTTCTCCACATTGTCTGCAACACTTGTTGTTTGTGTCTTTTTTAACTGTGGGCCATTCTCACAGGTGTGAGGTGGTGTCTCATCATGGTTTGGTTTGCATTGCCCTGAAGATAAATGAGAAAGAGATTTTTTTCATGTGCCTATTGGCCATCTGCATGTCTTCTTTAGGGAAATGACTGTTTAGATCCTTTTCCCATTTTTGATTCGGTTGTTTTCATTTTGTTGATTTATATAGGTACTTTGCGATCTTTGCTATGAATTCTTCATCAGAGGTAGGGTGTGCAAGTGTGTTCTCCCATTCAGATGGTGTCTCTTTGTTTGGGTCACTGTCTTTTTTGCTGTACAGAAAACTTTTATTTCGATATAGTATCCGTTGTTTCCTCTCTCCTTCATGTTTCTGAGATTGATGTTAGGGAGCATTTTACATAGGTTTTTCTCTATATGTTTGATGGTTTCAGGTCTTATATCCGAGTCTCTTATCCATTTTGAATTGATTTTCATGTGTGCTGTGAGGTAATGATCTAGTTTCATCATTTTGCATGCGGCAGTCCACTTTTCCAGCACCCTTTATTGAAGAGGCTTTCCTTGTTCCAGTGTATGGACTTTGCTCCTGTCTTGTATGTTAATTGTCCATAAATGTGGTTTTATTTCTGAGCTCTCAATTCTGTTCCATTAGTCTCGGTGTCTGGTTTTGTTCCATTACCATGCTGCTTTAACTATGCTGGCTTTAGCATATAGTTGGAAATTAGAAGTGTAATACCATCATTTCCCCCCTTTGATATCAGGAAAGCTTTGGCTATTTGGGGTCTTTTGTGTTTTCAGATGAACTTCATTAATCTTTGTTCTATTTCTTTGAAGAACGCCATTGGGATTTTTATTGGGATTGCGTTGAATCTCTAAATTGCTTTGAGTTGGATGGCCATTTTGACAATGCTGACTCCTCCAACCCATGAGTTGGGTATATCTTTCTGTTTATTTAAAGGAAGGGAGATGGAGTACAGATGATCCAGGGTCTGTGGGCCAGGCTAAATTTCAGTCTTTGTCCTTAGAGTAATGGATAGCAACATAATCCTTGTTTTTATCTTTCACAGCATTTGCAGGATAACACTAAGAGTTTCTTGTGTATTTTAAATAAGAATGTCTCACCCCATGCTCCCCCCACCCAGAAAACTTTTCCTCATATGAATTACCTCTACATTCTGCCAGTGAGTTTCACATTATGCATAGGAATATAGTAAAAATGAACATACAATTCTGCCTGACAAACATAAAACAAAAAAAAAGTATTTGGGGATTTAATTTATTTAATAAATAAGATTAACTGAATGTTGATGGAAGAGCAGTTAATATTTTCTTGAAAAGTGTATTATATATATATATATGTAAATAAAAGGTCTATTTTCTTCTGAATAACATTGAAAACATATTGATCAAGGTAATACATAAACATAATTAGGACATTTCTAGAAGAATCTGAGTGTAGTACCATTCAAAATTCACAGTTCTTGAGATCACGGGGTCATATCTTTCTCAGTCTAGTAAAAATATCATGAATTGTGTACATCATTTTGGTAAGGAATCATTTTGGTAAGAAGTCATCACACAGGCATCATTGAGCAAACCTGAATCTATTCAACAGCACTGAGCAACACGTTCTTATTTCTGAAATGCCACATTAGATATATGAAAATTATCAATATTTATATACAAAGAAAAGTGATAGAATTTGTGATTACTGAATAGTCTAAGTTGTCAGACTCATGCAGATACTTCTTTTACGTCTGAGAGAAATGTGTACTGTTACGGAGTATCAGATAAAATCCAGCTGTACTTTAATCCCATTTCAATCTATCCTCACAGAAAATATTGACTCTTTTTTTTTTTCTTGCAGACATGCAGCTGTCAACTATTCAACTATAGGTCTAGATTTGCATTACACTTTTATTTCCTACCTGTTCCTTTTCATCTAAAACACTTGTCCCATGAAACAGCTTTCACTGTCTGAATATGAAGGCAGGAAGTGCGGTGTCATCAAACCTGTTGGATATATGTTCATGGGCGCAACAAATAATATTGGCTAAATTTAAGGGGATGTATTTCTGTTTTTAGAAGCGGTAAATTCACTACTTATTGACATGCATTGTTAATGTCACAGTTATCATTCCAGTAACAATTTCATTTCCTGTCCCCCGCCCCAGTAAAGTATTTAACACATTGAAATACCCACAAAGTGTGTGCACTTGTTTGAAAAGTAGGTGAAGTTACAGAAGCTCCTAGGGAGCTACATAGACTGGGATCTCTGGAAATCTTAAAGATTTGTAAGCAATAGCAGAGAGTATATATATTGTAAAGATTAGTGAAGACCCACAAGATTGTGGTGATCATTAAAATCCAAATGCAACAGTTCAACAGAATAAAAAATTACTTCGTATGAATTCTTTCTTAGAACATTTCTCTTGAACCATTTTTTTTCCTGCTTGGTCTTATAAGAATACTAGCAACCTCTGACTCACAGATCAACTACCCTAGATAATATCACAGTATATTACATCAATTCTTTGGTTGTGGACTAAGAGGTCATTGAGAAGGAACATGAGCTTCTTATCATGTCCAGAGGTAACATCTGTCACATTTGTTCACTTTGTATTGGGAAGAACGAGTCACATGATCACTCATAACTGCACAGGAACTGGGAACACTACTTTTGCATCACTAATTTCAGGCTATAACTATTATAGAATTGAAAAAGGATTTATAGGTAGTTTCTTGTCTTTAATATAGAGAAATACTGCTATTCAGTTGTTCTGAACGTAAGAGGGTGTTTTTGTTGCAAGTTTTGTGGGGTTTTTTGGTCTCCTTATATTTTGCCTGCTCAATTTTCTGGCCAACTAAGTACTTATAAAGCCCCAAAATGCAAATTAACTCATATTGGGAATAATAGAATGAAATAGATCTGCAAAAACAAGGTCAGTATATAGAACTCATCTCACTAAACAGAGGAAAGAATTGAACTCAATATTCTATATCCATGTAGAAAATGCTTGAATTAAGGTGAATGCTTGAATTAATGCTTGAATTAATAAGGTGAACAGATTTTTGACTTTGAGATTCATGTCACATTCACAGTGATGATACCCTAAAATGTCATTTATATTTGACTGCATTACAAAGACCCTTTTTATTTTTGTGTACAATGAATAATATTCTCAATTCTGAATCCTATGGGAACATCCAGGGAAATGAAATAATGCCCCAGGAAAACATGCATGAAATTAATTAGCATCATAGAGTAAATGCCACATTTGGCCTTATATGGTGGCAGCCCTGTATGAGTCACTGAAATGGCTTTAAAATGGAAATGTTTGCTGGTAGCTCCTGACATATTCATCTTTTTCTCCCAGCAGAAATACTGAGTGATACAAAGGAGATTATTTTTTTAAAGATTTATTTATTTATGTATACAAGCACTGGGTACAGTCAGAAGCATGGGAGGATGAGAGAATTCACCAGAGCCAGAGCGGGGAGGAGAACAGGAAGGCTGAGGAAGTACACTGCTGAGGGGAGCAGCGGGCGGCAGGAGAGGTCTGCGCACCATGTGGGACACTCCCAGTGGCCCGGGATCGAGCCAGCACTGCGGAGGCTGTGGGCAGCTTCGCAAACCAGCACTCAACCACTGCGCCACTATTTTACAATAATATACACGTTTACAATAACATACACATTCATTTCACAAAGCAAAAGGAAATTAAGAGGACTCATTTGCATGTCTGGACCTGGGATTTCTTGCATAGCACTCCAACAATACACAAGACTCTTGCCAGGTCCCCATACCAAAAGCTTTCCCTATGGTCCTTGTGCCCCAGAAAATGGGTGATCTTGGCTCTCTTTTCCTTATATAATATTTTTTTTTTCTTTTCTGGATTTATTGGACTGCTTTCTATGGAAATTTTCAACTTTCTCCAATTTCTCTCTCTCTCTCTAGTCTATAGGTAGAGTATACCAATGATGTTCCTGATGCTGGTTTTCATGGAAAGTCTTGTAGAGTTATCCTTTCAGAATGCTCAGGTAACTGCACCAGCACCTCTTAACAAGTTTCTGTCATGGACCGTGCATATGTGGGGATAGACCCAACTTACATTTCTGGAGGACTGTAGTGCAAGGAGAGGATGAAATAACATATTCAGAATAGAGATAAAACATACGGGTCACAGATATCCTAACCTGCAGGATTCTCCTACAGAGACAAGAGAGTAAAAATGTTCTTCCCAGACAAACAAAAGCTGAAGAAGTGGTCCAGACTAACAAATCTTCCCTGAAAGAAATGTTAAAAAGAGATCCCCTGTATAATTTAAAGAGAAAAGAAAAAGAAAAAAGAAAAAAGAAAATGCTGAGCAGGGAAATAGAACCAGAAAACTAAAGTGAAAGTGGCAGTAGAAGATCCTCTATAGAGCTCACCAATCCAAAGGCAGAGAGAGGCCAGCCTCAGTTCAGGAAACAAAACCCAAGATTGCACAGTCACCAGGAGACCCGTCTGAGCCCCCCAAATAAACACAGGCTCCTCCCGGCTCAAGGCTGAATATTACACCAAACCACAAAACAGACTCAGGGATGTCAAGAGTCTGGGCCACAGTGTATTGTGCTGCACCATGCTGTGCAACGAGAAACATTCTATGTGGAGCTGAGAGCCTTCATTTTTCTCACAATGTATTTTGAATAGCAGCTGCTTTGTAATGTTTGCAATAGGATCCATTTCCGGATCTGCAGGTAAATGATGCTCTAGTCATGCTTTTATTTTATTTATTTTTTTAAAGATTTATTTATTTTTATACAAGAATCAGGGTACAGGCCAGATGCACTGGAGGGTGACAGGATTCACTGGATACAGACCGGGGAACAGAACAGGCAGACTGACGAAATATACACTGCTGAAGGGAGCTGCAGGCAAGACAGGAGAGGTCTGCTGCGCCATGTGGGAGTCTCGCCAGCTGGCCAGGATTGAACCAGCACTGTAGAGGCTGCGGACAGCTTCACAGTGTGGTGCTCAACCACCTGTGCCACCAGGAAGGACAGTTTTTACTTGTTTTTTAAACAGATTACTTATGAACACAAGAGCTGGGGTGCCGCCAGAGGTGCGGGGGTGGGGATAAGGGGATTCACCAGAGACAGCGTGGGGAACAGAACAGGTGGACTGACTGAAATCCACTGCTGAGAGGAGCAGCGGGGAGACAGGAGAGGTCTGTGGCGCCCTTCCCGGCTGGGGATGTGATGTTGGCACGAGATGACGTGACGAGTCCCTTTGTGGTCGCCAAAATGTTGTAGGTTGTATAGTGCATGTGGGTCCTGGGGGTCACTCTGGGAATGGTGCCCCCAGAGCTCCCATTTCAGTGGGACACAGCGAGTTCCCCAGCCATGTTTCTCCACGAGACAGAGACACTAGTTACATTAAAGGGAAGATATAGGGCCTCCCCTGCTGGCGCAGCAGTTGAGCGCTGGGCTGTGGGGCTGCCCGCAGCCTCTGCAGCGCAGGTTCATTCCCCGGCCGCTGGCGAGGGTCCCACAAAAACAAAACAAAAAACAGGGCAGATTTATTAGGGAAAGGGGCAGGTTTTGCTGAGAGAGGCCTGCATGGTTGCAGGCAGGCGACCTTGACAGGTCACAGCAGGTAGGAGGCTGCTGCCCTGCAGAGGGAGAGTTGGTGAGAAGAGGCACCTGCATAGTCATGGGTGGACAGATGTATGGCTGCCCTGAGCCTGTGCAGAGACTGCCCTGATACAGTCCTTTTCTCCTTGGAAGGGTCACGCCTCTCTGGAGTGGCTGCTTGTTGCTGATGTTGGGTAACAGGCAACACTAGAAAGGGACCAGAGATTCCAGGGTGGGCCCAATCTCCATATCCTTCCCCTCAGGACTGTGCACCACTCCCTAGATCTTCGGATCCTGCTCAGGTCTCCTGCCTTGTGACAAGGCACTGGTGCCTAAGGGTCTGAGCTCCACAGCTGGGTTAATGGTCCTGTTATTCCCCTTGACCCCCACCTCCTTACGTGAGTCAGGTTTTTAGTAGCCTGAGGCCTTTCCAGTCTTTCCATTCTTGCCCTCCATCAGGTGGAACTCATGTAGCAGAGGCTGCAAGTGGCTTCACAGTGCTGTGCTTAACCCCTGCGCCATCAGAGAGGCCCCAATCCTTGCTTTTATGTCAGCTTCAGGTAAGGGGATTTTTAACAACGATTAGAAAAAAATCTTTCCCAGAAATTCAAGCAACCTTGTTTGCTGTTTTAATGACGTGGCTATTTTAGGGTCTGGCTGCGGTGGACACTGTCAGTGAAAGGCTGGGAGCCCCAGAACCTGCAACAGACCCGCCTGTGCCTCCTGCCCCAGCCCGCCTGCCCCAGCCCACTGTGCCCTGCTGATTAGCTGGAGTTATGTTAGGACAAAACCTGGAGCCAGGAGCCTGACCTGTGCCCCCAAGATGACCAGGTGAGCTCTTGGAAGTCTCTTGCTTCTCTACTCCCTGCTTGCTTCAAGTTGCAAATGTGCCCCTGCTGGGGCCATGGGTGCTCTGTTGCCCAATGGCTCAGGGCTCAGACTTTGGAAAAAAGATCACCTCTGGGCCTGCGGGATAAATAAAGATGAAATTTTTCCATAACCTCTTACAATCTAAAAATCAAAAGGTAGAAGGTCCTAACTCTAAATGCAAATAAAGCGAGGAGTGTTAAGAATTGTATTTAGAACAGGGCCTCCCTTGGTGGCATAGGCGGTTGAGCACAGTGCTGTGAAGCTGTTCACAGCCTCTGCAGTGCCGGTTCGAGCCCGGCTGGCCAGAGAGGGTCCCACATGGCACAGCAGACCTCTCGTGTCACGCCCGCTGCTCCCCTCAGCAGTGTATTTCAGTAGATCTCCTGTTTTGTTCCCAACTCTGTCTCTGGTGAATCCTCTCAACCCCACATCTCTGGCCTGTACCCCAGTTCTTGTGTGCATAAATAAATAAATCTTAAAAGGTTATTTATGTACGCAAGAGCTGGGTTGTAAGCCAGAGATGGGGGTTGTGTTTGAGGGTTTTCACCAGAGACAGAGTGGGGGGCAGAACAGGCAGACTGACTGAAACATACTGCTGAGGGAGCAGTGGGGAGACAGCAGATGTCTGCTGCACCATGTGGGTCAGCTCCCTGGACAGGGATCATACTCATGCTGCAGTTGCTGGTGATAGCTTTATAGTGCAGCATCCTAACCCCTCGCGCCCACAGGGAGTTCCCTCTCTTCTATTCTTTTTTTTTCCCTTTTTGTTGTAAAGGCAATGAAATAGTCACAGGGAGAAGCTTTCAGTTATACAAAATTTTGTTTTATGAAATATCCTGGCCCCATTCATTATTTTGTCCTGCTCCTCTCATAGGTGTAGACAACTTTCTTGTATTTGGAAGCCGGAAGGGCTCAGACTTTGAAGTAGTGTCTTGTTTTCACTTTATTTTTAATTGAAGCTATATACAGCTGTGCATTAAACAGAAAAAATTTCTAAATTTAAAAATGAAGAATAGGGGCAAAAGTTGTTTATTTGGGTTGAAAAGCTAGCCGGAACACAGGTTCAGGCTAGAAACCCAAACACCCTCACTAAAAAAAATAATGAGGTGACCTTGACATGAACTCCCAACACTGCTGCTCTGCCCTTGCCTGTGTGACTAGCAGGAGACCATGTTTCATCCTAAAATGTTTTTCTGTAACCACATGGAATTCTTCAGTCTTTTAAAAAGTTACTTTCCCCTGCCAAGGAGCAAGGAGGTCATTTTACCAATGGAGTTTCCATCAGCTTCTGTTACTGGTCCTGATAATGATAGGGAGTTGTATATTTTATAGAAAATGTGAGGAGTAGAATAAAATAGGATGAACAGTATCAAAAAGTATTCTTATGACTTAGTACATTTCCTTCCTAGTTTTTCCCCAATATTGGCACTTGCCTGTGTAGAAGGTGGGCAGTAGCTTGAGAATTATAAAATGAGCTTCCATTAAATAGGTCAAGGAATGTAAAGTCACATCATCACATAATCTTCCTCCATAAGGAAGTCCCTATATGGCTGTCACTCATTTTTTTCTTGGCTCTTCACTACATATCCTGGTATGTATCACTGCATGTATCATTAAACCTGATTTTAATTTTGTCTTGTATTTAATATTTAAATAAATTAAATCCTGTTCTGTTTCTGTCTTGAATGTCACTCAACAGTATGAAGGCAAGACTAGTCCACATTTTGGATGCATCTTTGAGGGTTTTATTTGCACTGCTGTGTAATATTCCACCCGATGTACAGTTGTTTACACTGTGTTCTACTCACACATAAGTGTTAAGGAGAGTGCTTACATCATCGCTAAAATTTTATATTCTACTTCATCATTTAACACTGCACTATAAGTACTGTCCACAGCATTAAAAACTATTTAGTGTTACTGTATCTATCCAGTCTTTACATTTAATTTCATATCTATTGTTTTTTTTTTTTTTAATTTAGATAGTTTCCAATCATTTTACTGTACATAAAGTGTTCTCTGAATTTGAAAACATTTCCTTAGGTCATTTCCAAAAATAAACTTACTGTTTACGTTAAACATTCAAGTATTTTAAATTCAAAGTTCCCTGCAGAGGGGTTGTGAACTTACTTCTGAGGAATAGTAAGGACAGATTTCCTAGTCTCACTAACATTTTAGTCTATACGGTTTTCCTCTTCAAGGCTCTGGACACATAATCCCACCATGCTCTGCTGCTCCTGCCTCTGTGCGGGCCCTCCCCTTCCTGTGGGCTGTCATGTCTGTTCCCTGCACCATCACTCGACTCTGCCCCACAGGCCCCCCTCTTAGTACCTGAGCTTGGCCACCTGGGCCTTTCCTCCCTTTGGTCACTCGTGAGGGATTTGCTGTCTCGCTATTGATGGCCACCAGGCGGCGCCCTCCCCCGTTATTTTTTCGCATGGTCCTCACCGCCCTTTCTATTCCCTGAAACTCACAGTCTAGTCCGTACATTATTCCGTGCTTGGCCACACTACCTCGTTCCTCCCGCTTCCTGCCTTACTCTCCACCATTCTCATCCCTCCTGGTGCTTTACCTTACCCATCCCACTGCCATCACCATTCTGAGTTTCCCCCAAATTATCCCTCTGGGTCACAAGGCGGCACCACCAGCTCCATCCACTCCACCCGCGCCTTCAATACACCACAGGGAGCAGCTCTTTGCGCGCCACTTCAGGTCCTGCTGGCATTTCCGGCCTCGATTTTCCCATGATACCACCCCAGTCCACAAGGCGGCGACACTCGTTCCTCTCGCTGCTTTATTTCGCACCAAGGAGCCGTTCTTGACGCAGCCACTTCTGTTCAGGCTGGCGTTTTGGGCCGCAATTTTCCCATGATACTACGCCAGTGCACAGGGCGGCGACACTCGCACATCTCGTCACTTTATTTTGCCGCTGGGGTCCATTCTTGGCGCGACCACCTCCAGTCTGACTGGAGTTTCGGGCCACAATTTTCCCACGATACCACCCCAGTCCACAAGGCGGCGACATCCCCTCCTCTGCTCCTTTAATTTGCCCTTGGGAGACGCTCTTGGCGCGGCCTCTCATGTTCTGCCTGGTGCATCCTGGGAGTCTCAGAGTGATGACTTAAGTGCCGAGGGCGCACTTGAAGGGTCGCTACAGCAAAGGGCTGATAAAGGACCTGCTGGAGGCCTGAAAGCACCGCTGGCTTTTCCGGACAATGGCAGGAGCCGAGAGAAGTGAGGCCCGCGCTGCAACGCAGGGGGAGGCTGGGAGTCTTGAGCAGGACAGGACAGAACAAATGATGGCAGGAGAGGAAATCTGTCCTCACCATTCCTGAGAAATAAGTTCACAGCACCTCTGCAAGGAACTTTGAATTTAAAATATTTACATATTTTAAAGATTTATTTATGTTACAGCTGGGGAACAGGCCAGATGTGCGAGAGGGGGAGAGGATTCACCAGAGACAGAGCGGGAAGCAGAACAGGCAGCCTGACGACACACACTGCTGAGGGGCACAGCGGGGAGATGGGAGGGATCAGCACGCCATGTGGGTTGCTCCGAAGCCAGCAGTATCGACCCGGCACTGCGCTGCTGCAGACAGCTCCACAGGCTGTGCTCAACCCCCTGCACCACTGGGGAGGCCCTAAAATACTTACATTTTCAATGGAAATAGTAATTTTATTTTTGGAAATGACCTAAGGAAATGATTTCATAATTAAGATAAATCTGTATATGTAAAAATGTTCAATAACACTTAATTTACAGTAAAATAATTTGAAACTATCCAATTAAAACCCCCAATATACACAAAATTAAATGTAAAAGCTAGATACAGTAACACTGAACAGTCTTTAATGACGTGGAAAGTCCTTCTATTAGTGTTAAATGTTGAAAGTGGAGAATCCTGGCAATGCTGTGATCCCACCACAGAAGAAACATATTAATGACACACCCTCTCCTTACCCCTCATGCATGAGGAGAACACAATGTGAACACCTGCAGGGAGAACACTGGGACACCGCAGGGAGAGTCAACAGTCCAGACACATCCAAAATGTGGACTCCTCTTGCCTTCACACTGCTGAGTGACATCCGAGACAGAAACAACATGATTAATTTAAATATTTAACATCACACAAAATTAAAATCACATGTTAATGATACATTAACCCCCCCACCCCAGCTGCCACACCTGGGCACCCGCTCTGCCCCCCCACCTCGGGCCTGGGGCAGGAGGAGGCTCAGCCCAGAAAGCTTACAACGTGCACCCCAAACGCCCCCCTAACCCTGCGGGAGAGAAAACAGCCCGCAGGACAGAGGGGAGCCAGCCCCGGGGGCGCCCTCAGGATCCCGAGGATCCTGGAGCGAGCCCGCGGCTGCGGGGGTCACGCTCAGGGACGGGCCCGCCCATGTGCTCCTCTGGGCCCAACATAAGGCCCGGAGCCCTAGCGTCCAGCCCTTCCCCGCCGGCCCGAGGCCCCTGCGCGAGGCCCAGTCCCCACCTCGCCGCCCCACTGCGGCCCGGCCAGAAAGTCCATGGCACCGAGAAGGAAGCAGTGTCCCCGCCCGCTCCACTCTCCTTGCCACAGTGAGCACCGCTGGAAAGCGCCTCTGCTCTCGCCTCCGCCCGCTGCCTGCGGGCCCTGCCCCCTCCTGAGTCTCCAGGTCCAGGACCTGCGTGCTGCCCGAGAGGGGAGAGGGGCATGATGGGGGGCCCTGTCGGCCTTGGGGAGCCGCCGGTGAGGGGAGAGGATGGGGAGCAGGGGAGACGCAGAGGGTGACTTGGGGGATGTGGTGGGTGGCTGGGGGGGACGTGGTTGGGGGAGCACCCCCTCCCCGCAGCCTTTCTCGCGTCTCCTGCTCCAGCCGCACACCCAGCGCCGGCTCCTTCCGTGTGGGGGGCCCACAGAGGCGGAGTTCAGGCTTACCCCCCAGGGCAGGAAGTGAGTCCAAGGGGTCACCTGCACCTGTGGCCCCGGGGTCCCTCCAGCCGGTCCCGCCCGTGTCCCCACCTCCACTTCAGCCTCCACCCCGGAGCCCGCGGGGGAGCCGTGCGGGGGGAGCCGTGCCGGGAGGGCCACGGAGCCGCAGTGGCAGGGCCTCCCCGTGGGCTCTCGCAGCCCCGGGCGCCCTGGGGACCCACCTGCCGGCGGGAGATCAAGCTGGGGGCTGCGGGCCAGTGGCTTGGCAGTCGAAGTCCGGAAGGAGTTTGGCGGAGCGGCCCCTCCCTCTCCACCCCCTGCGATCCCCGGCGCCCCCGCACCCCCCCAGCAGCCTGGTGCCGCTGCCCCGTCCTGGCCACCGCTGTCCTGTCCCAGCACAGACGGAGCCAGGAGGCGGAGGCGGCAGACTAGGGGCGCGGGAGACGGGCGGGCTCGGGCGGGGAAGCCGCCGACTCCTCCCGTGTGGCCCTAAACGTGGTGGCCCCTACCGGTGTCCCGCGGCCGCCTCCATCCCCAGAAATGCCGCCGGCACCACCTCTGACCCGGACTCGGGCTCCCGACCCCGCGGCGCCCAGGCCTCCTGCGCGTCCCACCCGGCGTCTGCCTCCGGGCGCCCTCGGACACCCCGTTCCCTTCCCGAGAGCTCGCGCCCCAACGCCCCGTCTCCCGACGGCCACGGGCCTGGCCCTGGGGAGGCTGCGGGGGCGCCGGTCTCAGGGGGTCATGGCCCTTTTGCGCCCACGGGGCTGTGTCCGGGAAGAGCATCCTGCCCAGTTTGGCCCTCAGCGTCCAGGACCCCGCGCCAGGGCGGGGCTCTGGGGAGGGGCTCCCCTGCCTTCCGGGCTCAGGGGCCACAAGCCTCCCAGGCCCCATTATTGGCCCCGGAAAACTGGGCTGAGGGCACGGCTGCTCCTTTGTTCCCGACGAAGCACCCACCTGGCCGAGGAGCCTGACCCGCCAGCCCCTGGTGCGTCTGGGGCACCAGCTGCGCAGTTTATCAGGCCCCTGCGCCCCTCCGCGCCCCAACATGGCCTGGTGACTGTGCCGAGAGCCCGCGCGCGCCCGCAGCCCTTCCCTGCCCCCCTCGCCCCTCCTGCCCAGCCTCCTGAGCCTGGGGGGGTCCCAACCCGGCTCTTCCCTGCTCTCCTCACCCCCTCCTGAGTCTGGGGTTCCCGCGCACTTGCTCAGGCTCCGGCCCCACTAGTGGACTCGGTCTGGGCAGCGGCGGCGGCTGCGCTCGTGTCCGTCAGTCCTTCTCGAGGGCGACCCCGGCCCGCCAGTGGCCTCGTCCCATCAGTGGAGGCCCGCGGGGACCCTGGGGCTCGCCGGGGAAGACGCTTCTCGGCGCAGACGCCGCGCTCCCCGCGTGGGCCAGTCCCTGAAGGCACCGCCCCGTCCCCAGGACAGACCCCGCGGCGGGCTCGGCGGGCGCGGGAAGGCGGGGGTGGCGGGGCGAGAGCTCGCTGCGCATAGGGTCGGTTCCCGGGCACACCCGGGCGCTTCTTCCCCCGGAGACCTCTGGCGCCCCCTATTCTGCCCCCTCGGGGTCCCGCTGGCGGCGAGACAAGCGTGCGGGGCTGCGGACATCGGGGCGCGGGCGGGGCTGTCATCGTCACCGGTGCGCGAACTGGGGAGCCCCCGACGTTTGCGGGGAAATCGCTTCCTCGTCCCAGCGGTGGGGGATCGGCCAAGCCCGCGAGGTGACCGGCGAGGGCTGGACGCGCAGCTGGGGCGCGCGCGGGCCGTGCCTGTCGGGCTGAGGGCACCGAGGGCCTCTGTGTGACCCGGGTCGGCGCCCCCGCCTCTCTTGTCCTCGCGCCGGCCCCGCCCCAGGCCCCGCCCCGCGGGCACGCCCCGCCCCCAGCCCGCCTCGGGCTTCTGGGAGTTGTAGTCTCGGCGCGCCTGTGGGCACGGCGCCTTCTGGGAGTTGTAGTTCCCGGGCAAGGGCGCCTCCTGGATGCGTTGCTCCCCATTTTGTTTTATGACATATCATGGCACCATTCATTATTTTATCCTGCTCCTCCAGTTGGTGTAGACAACTTTCAGGACTCTTGCATTTGGAAGCTGGAAGGGCCCAGACTTTGAAGTAGTGTCTTGTTTTCACTGCTTTATTTTTAATTAAAGCTATATTACAGCTGTGGATTAAACAGAATAAATTTCTAAATTTAAAAAATGAAGGAAAAAGGGCAAAGGATGTTTATTTGGGATGAAAAGCTAGCCGGAGCACAGGTTCAGGCTAGAAAGCCAAACCCTCTCACTAAAAAAAAATGACGTGACCTTGACATGAACTCCCAATGCTGCAACTCTGTCCTCGCCTGCATGACCAGCGGGAGGCCATGTTTCATCCTAAAATGTTTTTCTGTAACCACATGGAATTCTTCAGCATTTTAAAAAAATACTTTCCCCTGCCAAGGAGCAAGGAGGTCATTTTACCAATGGAGTTTTCATCAGCTTCTGTTACTGGCCCTGATAATGATAGGGAGTTGTGTATATTATAGAAAATGTGAAGAGTAGAATAAAACAGGATGAACAGTATCTAAAAGTACTTTTATGACTTAGCACGTTTCCGTCCTAGTTTTGTCCCCAATATTTGCACTTGTGAAATAGAATGCCTGTGTAGAAGATAGGTTGTAGCTTGAGAATTATAAAATGAGCTTCCATTAAATAGGTCAAGGAATGTAAAATTACATCATAGCATGATCTTTGTCCATAAGGAAGCCCCTATATGGCTGTCACTCATTTTTTTCTTTGCTTTTCACTACATATCCTGGTATGCATCATTGCATGTATCATTAAAATGTGATTTTAATTTTGTGTGATGTTTAATATTTAAATTAATCATGTTGTTTCTGTCTCAGATTTCACTGAACAGTGTGAAGGCAAGACAAGTCCACATTTTGGATGCAGCTAGACTGTTTATTCTCACTGCTGTGTCACAGTGCACTAGATGCTGTTGTTTACATTTTCTTCTACTCATGTAAGGGGTAAGGAGAGGATGTGTCATTAATATTTTCCTTCTGTGGTGGAATGACATCATTGCTAGAATTGTCCACTTTCAACGTTTAACACTAATAATAAGTAATTTCCATGTCATTAAAAACAATTTAGTGTTATTGTATCCAGTTTTTACATTTAATTTTGTATACATTGGTGGTTTTTATTTAGTTTCAAATCATTGTACTGTAAATAAAATGTTAGTGAACATTTTTACACAAAGATTTTTTATCTGATTTTGAAAACATTTCCTTAAAATTACTATTTCCATTAAAAATGTAAGTATCTAGGGCCTCCCTGGTGGTGCAGCAGGTTGATTTTTTGCAAAATGTATGCACTTTCTTTTTTTAAAGATTTATTTATTTATTTATGCAAGCACTGGGTACAGTCAGAAGCATGGGAGCATGAGAGAATTCACCAGAGCCAGAGAGGGGAACAGAACAGGCAGACTGACGAAACACACTACTGAGGGGAGCACTGGGCCCGGCAGGAGAGGTCTGTTGCACCATGAGGGACCCTTGCTGGTGGCCGGGGATTGAACAGGCACTGCAGTGGTTGCGGGCAGCTTCGCAGCCCAGTGCTCAACTGCTGCGCCACCAGAGGAGGCCCCAATGTACGCATTTTCATCTTGGTTATAGTCCCCGTAAAATTCCCACCCCCTTGTTTTAATCCTACTCCCTTCTCCCCACCCCCCCAGTGTGTCTCTGATTATAGTTGCCTGTTGATTTTGTTTTTACTTTATTATAATTAGTCTTTTTCCTGGTCCCATATTTGGGTTTTCTAGATTCCTGCTATGAGTGAGATCATCCAGTATTTTTCTTTTACTTTCTGCCTTTTTTTGCTAAGCATGATCCCTTCCAGCTCCATCTATGTTGCTGTAAATGGCATGAGTTTATCTTTTTGATGGCTGAGTAATATTCCATTGTGTATATATATACCACATCTTCCTGATCCAGTCATTTATTTTGGGGCATTTGTTTTGCCTCCAGGTTTTCCTACTGTAAATACTGCTGCATTAACCATAGGGGTGCAGGTGTCCTTTTGAATTAATGTTTTTGTGTCTTTTGGATAGATTCATAGGAGTGGAATTTCTGGGCCATATGGAAGCTCCATTTTCAGGAGATTGAGGAACCTCCACACAGTTCTACATAGTGGATGCCCCAGTTTTCACTCCCACCAGCAGTGCAGGAGAGTTCCTTTTTCTCCACATCCTCGCCAACATTTGTTGTTGCTAGTTTTTTTAATATGTGCCATTCTCACTGGTATCAGATGGTATCTCATTGTAGTTTTGATTTGCATTTCCTTGATTGCAAGTGATGCTGAATATTTTTTCATATGCCTGCTGGCCATTTCCTTTTTCTCTTTGGAGAAGTTTCTTTTTAGCTCATCTGCCCATTTTTTTGACGGGGTGATTTACTCTGTTTTTTTTTTTTGTTGTTGTTGTTGTTGAGTCTTGTCAGCTCTTTGTAGATTTTTCTAAAAAGATTTATTTATTTGTTTGTTTGTTTGTTTGTTTGTTTGTTTGTTTGTTTGTTTATTTATTTATTTATTTATTTATTTATTTATTTATTTATTTATTTATACAAGCACTGGGTACAGTCAGAAGTGCCAGAGGGTGAGAGAATTCACCAGAGAGAGAGAGCAGGGAGCAGAACAGGCAGAAGGACCGAAGTACACGGCTGAGGAGAGCAGTGGGCGTGGCAGGAGAGGTCTGCGCACTATGTGGGAGCCTCGCTGGCTTCCTGGGATCCTACCGGCGCTGCAGAGGCTGCTGGCAGCTTCGCATCCCAGCACTCAATCGCTGAGCCACAGGGGAGGCCCTTTGTAGATTTTTGTGATCAGTCCCTTATCATTACTGTTCTGTACAAAAATTTTCTCCCCATCAAAGTGTTGTGTCTTTGTTTGGGATCATGTCTCTTTCACTGTACAGAAGGCCTTTACTTGATGTCATCCCGCTGTGTATCCTTTCCTTCATTATCACTGCTTTGAGTGATGTGTCTTTAAGGATGTCACTGAGGTGCATGTCATGTAGTGTTTCACCTCTATTCCCTTCTATATATTTTATGGTTTCAGGTCATGTCCAGTTAATTTTTTTGTAAAGATTAATTTATTCAAGACAAAGCTCTCCTGAAAAAAAAGAAGGGAATGGAGGCATCACACTCCCAGACTTCAAACTATACTACAAAGCCATAATCATCAAAACTGCATGGTATTGGAACAAGAACAGACACACAGACCAATGGAATCAAATAGAAAATCCAGAAATAAACCCACAGATTTATGGTCAACTAATCTTTGACAAAGGAGCAAAGAATATGCATTGGAGCAAAGAAAGTTTGTTCAATAAATGGTGCTGGGAAAACTGGGTTGCTACATGTAAAAGAATGAAGCTTGACCACTACCTCACACCATACACAAAAATCAACTCAAAATGGATTAAAGAACTAGACATAAGACCTGAAACCATAAAATACATAGAAGGAAATATAGGTGAAACACTACATGATATGCACATCAAAGATATTTACAGACACATCACCCAAAGCAGTGATAGTGAAAGCAAAGATAAACAGCTGGGACTACATCAAATTAAAGAGCTTCTGCACAGCAAAAGAGACATTAACAAAAACAAAGAGAAACCCGACCGACTGGGAGAACATTTTTGCACACAACACTAATGATAAAGGACTGATCCCAAAAATCTACAAAGAGCCGATGGGACTCAACAAAAACAAAGAAAATAAGCCAGTCAAAAAATGGGCAGAAGAGCTAAAAAGAAACTTCTCTGAAGAGGAAATGCAAATGGCCAACCGGCATATGAAAAAATGTTCAACATCACTTGTAATCAGGGAAATGCAAATCAAAACTACCATGAGATACCATCTTACACCAGTGAGAATGGCACATATTTAAAAAAAACTAGCAACAACAAATGTTGGCGAGGGTGTGGAGAAAAAGGAACTCTCCTGCACTGTTGGTGGGAGTGCAAACTGGTCCAATTACTATGGAGAGCTGTGTGGAGATTTCTGGACCTACTAAACATAGAGCTTCCATATGATCCAGCAATTCCACTCCTAGGTATTTACCCAGAGGACACAGAAACATCAATTCCAAAGAGCACCTGCACCCCTGTGTTTATAGCAGCACTGTTTACAATAGCTAAGCTTTCGAAACAACCCAAATGCCCCAAAATAGATGACTGGATCAAGAAGATGTGGTACATATACACCATGGAATATTATTCAGCATTCAAAAAAGATAAACATATGCAATTTGCAGCAACATGGATGGCGCTGTAAGGGATCATGCTCAGCGAAATAAGCCAAATAGAAAAAGAAAAATACCGGATGATCTCACTCATAGCAGGAATCTAGAAAACTTAAATAAGGAACCAAGAAACTGAATAACTATAAGAAAGTGAAAATCAAAATCAACAAACAACTATGAACCAGAGACACTCTATGGGCGATGGTGGGTGGGGAGGGGAGGGATTGGGGTCAAAATAAGGGGGTTGCAATTGTATGGGGAATATAAAAATAAAATTTATTATTAAAAAAAAGATTTATTTATTCAAGCACTGGGTACAGTCAGAAGCACGGGGAGGTGAGAGAATTCACCAGAGCCAGAGCGGGGAACAGAACAGGCAGACTGACAAAATACACTGCTGAGGGGAGCAGCGGGTGCAGCAGGAGAGGTCTGTGGCACCATGACATGTGGGACCATTGCCGGCAGCTGGGGGTCCAACCGGTGCTGCAGAGGCTGTGCGCAGCTTCGCAGCCCAGCGCTCAACCGCTGCACCACAAGGGGAGGCCCTCATGTCCAGTTCTTTAATCTGTTTTGATTTGGTTTTTGTGCGTGGTGTGAGGTAGCAGGCAGGTGCCCTGAGGGGAGCGGCCTCTGCTGAGGAGGGTCAGTGAGGAGAAGTTCTGGCAGGTTCAGGGCACGGCCAGGCAGGAGGCTGCTGACCTGCCGAGGGAGATTTTTGGTGACAGGAAGTTTTACAAGGCAGGGAGAGGGGCACCCCAGACCCCACAAACCTGCCTGGGTTCTGCCATCCGCCGCATCAACACAAATGAGACTTTAGTGGGAAGGAGCTTTAATACAATTACTGAACAATACAGAAAAGAAAAAGAACATAGTTTCTATATCAAGCACCCAAAGTCACCCATCGCCTTGTGGGTAAAAGTCCATCAAAGCAGAATTGGCCCAGAGCAAGGCCCCAAAGCTGTCACAAGTCTAAAGCACCTTCCAGTGGAACCGACAGAAAAGCATCAGAAACAACCAGACAAGTATGGGAGGAAAAGAGCAAAATCAAGACAAAAACCACCATTCTCCCCTCCCCACGGGTATCTCACCCACATCTGTGTCACCCAGTCCACGACCAAAAGGCAGGTGCACTTTCTCCACGTGTGTCTTAGCTCCATGTGCCTCCTCCAGGTCTACTTTTGGCTGCATCTTGCTTCCTTCCTTCCTCAGTCTCCTCTGCAGCTTCTTCTTCCTGCTCTGCTCCACCCTCCTTTTGGGTGGGGCAGGAAACCTGGAACCTCCCCATTCCTGGAGACCAGCCTGTTACAATAGCACCTGCAGAGTCACTGGTAGGTAGAGGGTCGGCTGCCCCTCGCCAGGGCAGAGACTGCATGGGTATGGTCCTTTTCTCTTTGGGAGGCGTCCCTCCTTTGTGGAGTGGCCTGTTTGTTGCTGATGTTGGATAACTTGGCAAAACTAGAAAAGGGCCATGGGTTACAGGATGGACCAATCTCCCTATGTTTACCCTCAGGCCTGTGCACCACTCCCTAGAGCATCTCATCCTGCTTGGGCCTTATGCCTTGTGACAAGGCACTGTGCCTGAGGACCTTGAATTCTACACTGGGTTAATGGTTGTTACTTCCCTCTACCCCCACGTCCTTGTGTGAGTCAGGTTCTGGTCTCAGGGCACCCCCATTACAGGTTTTTCATTGTGTCCTCCATCGGTTCTTCCAAGGTAGGAAACTAACTTTGAGACATGTTTGTAATTGCAGTTTGGCAGGGGTGTGTTCTTTTTTTTTTTTTTTTGACTCATTCATTCATCACTGTTGATAACAGGGGCATACATCACCCTCAGTCTCTGCAGCCCGGCCTGACTCCAAACCCTAACCACCAAACCACAGAACAGA